GGGGGGGGGGGGGAGGGAGAGAGAGACCCTGATAGAAACTAATTAGAGGTCAGTGGAGGATGCTGCAGCTTCACATGTGAACAAAAAGCCACAATAAAAGAACAACTGTTCTGAAAGAAAGAAGTGCAAAGAGAAAGCTAGTTACTGTTCCTTGGACTGTTCAGGAGAATCAGGCTTTGCTGTACTGGGACATACTTCTGAAGTTGCCTTGTACTAAAACAGACCATTGATCCCTCTAGTTCAATGTTGTCCACATCAGGGGCTGGACAGTTATAGTCTCTTAGGGTTTTGTTGCATTCAGCTCCCATCAACCCTAACTGGCATAGCTATTGCTGGGGGATTATGGAAGCTGTCCTCCAGCGAGGTTTATAGGGTAACAGTTCTGCACTGACAAGTAGCATTCCTCCAACTATTTCAGATAGGAAGGTTTTTCCAGCCTTACCTGGAAATGCCAGGAGGTGAACCAGGGACCTTTTGAGTACTGAGCAGTCACCCTGCCAGTGAGGTGGCCCTGAAACTAAACTACTGTAGCTTCTTGCCCAGGTTTTAATTCTTGCTTATGTGTAGAGCTTACATGCGAGAAGGGACTTTTCTTCAGACTGTTTTGTCATTATGTAAGAAAGTGACACCAAAAAAGGGTGAGGTTAGGTGTTCCTTTTTGTAAGCATGTTAAGGAAAACAGATTCAGTAATGCTTGAATAGGGCTAAATATATGTACTGTGTGAATACTTTTACTCACCCATTCCAGCTGATTATGGAAGAGCAGTTTGTCAGCAGGGCCAAAACACACTAAGATGGAAGCCACCAAAGAGAATTATCATCCTTATGCGCCTTTCTTTCTCTGCTCCACCCTGGAGTTATACAGATCACAAAATCAAGCTATGAGAAAGGGAAGGGCACATACAGTAGAAGGAATTCCCTTCCATACATCACATCTCCCTGTGGATCCTTTTCAGTCTTCTTCAAATAGGTGTTAGCAGGGGAGAGGTGTACAAGCAGCACCTGGAGGAAGCAGACTTCAGCCCAGAAAGTACTTGTTGCAAACCTCTGTTGTAAAATGCCATTGCTGTTTCAATAAAGAGTCTGCACACAATTGGATAAGCTGTGTGTCACTGTTGAAGTACTAATGTCTGGTTGGGTTGTAATAATGCACATGACTCAACAGAGCATGCAGCATGTCCCTGTTCAATACAGTCCACAAAGCTCTCCATTTTAGTGGGCTGTGTCCAGTCCACACAGACTTTAGATAGGGGAGGGGGTGCCTTTCTGTGAGGGACACAGCCTTAATTTGAGGCAAGGAAGGGATAATTTTACTACCACAGTATTTACTGTTTTGTTTTAATTAAGTGCATCTTTGGTGGAACTATACAGAAAGGGCCTACAATGCCTACAAAGTGTTCTTAAGCAACAAAAATGTTCAAATGTGGACAACGAGGAAGTCTAGTGCTAAGTCCCAGTCTTTGTTCAGCAGAAACCAGTGGCATTTGCCCAACCAAATTCTACATGGATGCAGCTATCTCAAGAATAACGTGCATCCTAAATCCATTTATTTCAATGTAAAAAGACAGATCCGTATCCAGTTAGTGAGCAGGAAATTTAAAGTGAGTGACCTCTCCTTCTGAGAGTCTGGCTGCCAGGCTCTTACTCAGCAGTATTCTGGAAGAGAGATTTCTAGAGAGAGCAGGCAGCTCAGATGAATGCTCTTTTTTTTTTTGACCCAATAATGATGCTTCTCCAAATCTCAACCCCACTCCACTGCTCCCAGAAATACAGAGAAAATATACACCAACTGGAATATAAGTTTGCACAAGCAGGTTCTTAATCCAATCCTTCAAAAAGTCTCTGTTTTATGAATGTAGGAGACTGTGCTTCTTTATCCATGATTCAAAATGGCCCAGTATTACTGCAGAATATTTTGCCTGAGTCGCCAGCAGCAAAAAATATGTCAAGGTTTACCCTAGCGAAGGGCAGCCTGAATGTTGGCCACACCTATGGCAGCAGTCAAGATGGTCTACAACAGGATGCCCTCTTGCGTTCACTTCCATTTACAAAGTGACACTAAGCAAGGGAAAGTCCCAGAAGCTGGCTCCCTTTTTCATCAGACTTTTCACCCAAATACAAAACAATTGCTAGGACTGTTTCTTAACAAATGTGAATTTTGTAATGCAGATATAATTTGAATATATCTTACAAAATTCTGTGCTAATTCCTTCGAGAGACCGGCAAAATGTCCCTTTCTGGAACACTGTCATCAGGATCAGTGTTTCAGCCCATGCAGCCTGAATTCCTTCCAAAAAAACTTTTTTTTAAAGGTGGAACTAACTATTCTCTTTCTAGATAAGCAAGATTGGTCTTTTAAATTTATTTTATCTGTTTTAAATCTGGGGACATTTAACATTGCTTGTTTCTGCATAGGGAGGGGGTAAAACTGATTTTTTTAAAAAAATCTTATCCTGAAAACCCTTTGCCCAAACTTCCCCAAATCTGGCAAAGAGGAAGACAAACTGCTACATCTGTGCCAAATTTTATGCTGATCGAAAGTCCAGTTTCAAAGTTAAAATTTTTGTTTGGGTTGTCCCCATTTTTAAAATTGCCTTATACATGTTGATTTACTCTGCCAGCATAGTATCATCATTGTATGATCTTATAATACAATAAT